AACTACAGAGCAAGATCCTATCCCAAAAAAGCAATAAATAAAAATAAAAAGTAAGTCATTCATGAGTAAAAGGAAACAAAACTCAAAAAAAAAAAAAAAAAAAAAAAAAAATCCTACCGCTATAAGTGGTCCATATTACTTTTTCACTTACTTTGAATCTTTCTCTTTAAACTACCACATGCGTGATTCTGTTTGCACCCAAATATCTTCGAGTTTGCTATAACATCTCCTTCCTTTGAAGTTCCTTTTCTGGATGTTTTGTCACTACCCACGACATTACAGTTTGTCTTCCAGCTCTGTGAATGCGCTCTGCAAGAGCTTACTTCGGCCTCCTGCCCTGGTCTGTCCTGTGCTGCTGTTTCCTCTCCTTCAGAGAGTAACACCCATCTGCATTCACTGCTTCGACTATAAGTTTAGCACAAACAGTCCAGCATCTGTTTCCTCTTTTTGCAGCATAATCTCTTAAGGAGAAACACAGTGAAACTGAATCTAATCGAATACTCACATCACTCAAATGTAAATTGACAAAAGCATCAATATAAATTCATTATGTAGCTTTGAAACATTTTTTTTCTAGCCTCAAGGGGGTAAGGAATAATGGTTCTGATCACATAAATTCACTCTGTACAACAGCAAAGGAAGTATATAAAGACTTGGCACTTTTTCAGAATTACTTACTCTTGGATAAGGAAGCCCACTGGTAGTATTGAAAGCTGGCAGGAGTTTGTAACCCAATTGTTTTGCCATTTGGAGAAGTTCATCATTGTACCACTGCATGTATTCACCTTTTTCTTTCAGCATAATTGCCAGTGAGTGTCCACCCAAAAGACCGCTATAACCACAGAGACAACAATTATCTATATCTACAATTCATAAAAGTTACTACCTATAATGGTGTATTTTGCTATCAACAATTTAACATACATAAAGGAAGATGACAGAAGAACTTAATGCTTTGCTGGATACACATTTATGACAAACTACCATTACCACACAGCTAACATACTTTATAAATCAGATGTCTATGTTGTAAAGTAGCTGGCATTTTTAAGTACCTTAAATTTGCTTAAAATGAAGAGTATCATAGGCATCACATTCATTTTAACAAATGAGATAAAAATTTTAGCAAATCTTAATTTTATTTATTTTATCTTAAGTACCAGGAATCAAAGTCAGGACCTAGTGCACACCAGACAAGCGCTTATGCTGCTGAGCTACATCCCCAGCCAACAAACCTTAACTTTTAAAATGTAATTGTAGGGACCGGGGAGATGGCTCAGTAGAATAAGCGCTTGCCTGACAAGCACAAGGGCCTGAGTTCAATCCCCGGTTCCGAAAAAAAAAAAATGTAATTGTATCGCCATAAAATCTTTAACTTCATTAATACAACAAAAAGTCTTACTCTGTCAAACAATAAATTCTGAAAAGCTAAACTTTTTTTATATTTAACTGAAATTAAACCTTACTGTGACAAAAAGAAATGAGTTGCAATACCACAAAAGTAATCTTTAATATAAAATTTACCAATATTGAAATGAAGTAACACATCTTTTAATTTCACACTTTTAAACATCTCAATAGTATTTCTAATTGTTTCGCTGAGAGGCAATCCTGTAAATGGAGTTTCATTTGGCTTCTTTGCAGTTACTCTGCCTAAAGGTAGCAAACCATTAAGCCCATGACATAGCTGTGATGAGCTAATATAACAAATGTTCAACCTCACAGTCATTACCTTGATTTGTGTCTGCAACTACAAGACGTGATCTAAAAATACAGTGAATGTTTAAACTTAAAAAAGTAGCACGGTAAAAGATGCCCTGCCTCTAATACTCTCCTCTTGCTTCAAGCAGGTTTATCCGGTTGTCCTTGCCCTTTTCTGAATGAGGTTTAGCACTTCTCTTTTGTGAGTGTCTTGAATTGCACTGTCATGGCTGCCGTAATATGGAAGCAATGCAAAAGACTTACTTTTCACTGTCATTTTAACTTTGCAGAAGAGCCAGAATCACCTGGTGCCAGATCCAGTGAGTGCGGTGGATGAGGACACGCCGTGATGTTGGACCAGCTTTCCTCTGGCACTTGGTAACACCATTCACTGTATTTTTTATCACAATTTGTAAAGACACTTCTATTTCCAAAGCCCTTTGCCATTTGTGACTAATAGCAGCAGAATCACAGCTTCATAATACCCCAAATTTTTATCTTTTACATGTAAGAAACTTAACGCCTTTGAGAACTAAACAGTATACTCCCTAAGTTCTTATTATTAAATTACAGCTACAGTGTTTTATTTACATACTTACCCAAGAACTCTGATGTTTGTTTCAAAGACAGACACAACTACATCATTATCTAAATTAACATCTCTTAAAACTTTTTTCACTGCATCTTCAAATTCTTTAGTTTTATTTAATACCTAGGAGAAGAAAATTATGAAATAAAGTTCTTTTCTACCAAGTCAAGGAGAAATATGATCAGAATGAGCTACTAAAATCAACTGAGTTATACTTCAAGGCTCAAAAAAGTAACCCATACAAAATAATGTATTCTTTAAACATAAAAAATGTGATATCTAAAACTGAAAAAAGTGTATCTTTCTACATTTCAGTTAGCCCTTTACACCTTGTTTTTTAGATACAATAAAGTATCTTCAGTACTTTAAAGCAATTACTAAGAGAACTGATATACATGGTTTCCCTTACATGAGAGATACAAAGCAAAAATAAAGAACAATAAAAGATAGATGAAAGGAAGCAGGGAGAGGAGGGAAGGAAAAGCAAAAATGAAAAAAAAAGCAATGAAGGTGTGTTATGTACATGTACCATCTCTCCACATGAAGTATAAATATTATATATTGCTCACATGTACTAATAAAATAAAATTTTAAAAAGAACTGATACATATTTGAGCTTTTTAAGCCAAATATCCAAAATCCAATCAGCTTTAAAAGCTGAAATGCTCTAAAACATTGTGAAACCCAAATGCCCCAAAATTTGCCCCAAAATATGAAATTTTGGGAGTTTTAATTGCTATGTAGATATCACTCAAAGTATTTCAGATTTTGGAGCATTTCAGATTTCAGAATTTCAAATTAAGGATGCTCAATTTCTAGCATCTATGTTAATATGATAATATATATATTTTTTTTGGGGGGGGGCTCTTTTTGAGACAGGGTCTCACTATGCAGTTCCGTCTGGCCTTGAGCTCACTTTGCAGCCAACTGGTCTTAAACTTGCAAGGATCCTCCTGTAATCCCAAGTGCTGGGATTACAGGCATGCACCCAGCTTAAAAAAATCTTTGGTATCTTGGGACTTCCAGTCCTTAGCACTAGGGAGAAGATAAAACAAATAAAAACCCATGATATACTTGAAGTGAGCTCTCATGGGGTTTGATCTAGAAGCCAAAACAATCATCCTGTTCTGGCTGTATTAAAATTGCTCAGTCTCAGAGAAAGCTCTTTATTCAGCTGACTGATCCTGAACCACACAGCTGCATCTTTACCCCGTGGGTATCCCATTCACTAAAGAGGCCATGCTTCAATGTTACTCTAGGCAAGAGAACAGCATGTGTAGGGACCTGCGCTTGATCCTCAGAACTATTAAAAATAATAATAATAATAATAATAATAATAATAATAATTTTTTTAAAAAGTAAATCCTAGTTTGAATTCTGGTTCACTCACCATCTGTGTGATCCAAGTGGTCAAAACAAGTTATTTTGATCTCTGAACCTGTTCATTCATTAAAAAAAAAAAAAAAATACAAAAACTGCTCCTTAGCAAACTGTCTGCTTTATATCAAGTGTCTAATGTCATGCAGATCTAGAATCAGTTTTTACTCTTTATTTTTTAAAATTTTATTTTACTTTATTTTGAAAAGTAAAACCAAACAGCAGAAAGACAGAAACGGGGTAACACACAACAGATATGGTATAGATTTTCAAAACAAGAACAGCAAATTAACAATCATTGTTATATTACCTATCTTTTCATCAAACCTGTTGCTCAGATTAACAGATAAACTGGATTCTTAAAATGAACAGCGCAAATGGATCATGATCATTTCATAGGCTGCTTTGATTTTTCAGTCTAAATTATATATTATATAAAAGACTAGATACATTAAAAGGTATTTACCTCTACTTGACTGACCTTTTTGTTTGATTAATATTTTCTGGTACTTTTTTATGTGATCTAATATTTTCACTAAGACTTCTGATATATTCAGTAAGAATATATTCAGAAAATTTAAGAAAAATTAAAAGTTAGGGAGGCCCTCAGTAATACATTATAGGAAACCTGCTTTTAAATTCACTACTTTTTCTTCTCAATCTCAAAATCCATGCAAATTCTGCAGCACCAAGTGCAGACACACAGATCCTCATACTACTATAGGAAAATTTCCTATTCTCCCTACCCTATGAACTGGAGTTTTTTAATATCACTTTGTTAACTGCTTCTCTCCTTGCTCTGTTTACTGAGAATTTTTCACTCTTGAGCTTATATGCAAACTTCCTTCCACATGTATTCTTTATGGTCTGTACTACTTGTTGAACTAGGAGAAAAGGGAGCCTTTTTTCCAAAATCAAAATAGCTAAGAACAGTACCAATATCATTTGTTCCCAAAAAGAACAGAAGTTATCTTTATACCACATTAGCTAGAAAATTCATTCTAATAGCTCCATTATTTAATGAGTTTAATTTCAACTAGATTTGTAACTGAAAAAGGTCAAATCCAGGTCTCATCTTTTCCCCCATGGTATGTAATTTGTTTGAATTTCTCCCCTAGATTTCATAATATAGAATTCAAGGGTACACACAACATTTTACTGCATGACTCCACAACATGGCTGATTTTTAGAACTGTGTATGTTTTAAAATCAAACCACAGGAATAGAAATTATACTTACATCATGGTATAACCAAATTAAAATGGTAAGATTATGTACATGGTTACAAGTGATATCTTATTAATATTTCCTAATTGCTAAATCATAACATGAAAAAATCTAACAAAGTTAATTAGCCATATTAATACTTGTACTGACAAATGTAAAAACTAGTTTCTTCCTAATTTCAAAAAACCTTTCAAAGTACTTTAATTCTTCTGTCTTAATTTAAAAAAAGTTGAAGATGATGAAAAATTCAAAATAAATTTGTATAGTTCAAGTCCATAATGATATATGAGTTGCTTTGGTTATTCCCACTTAGTAAGACTGAAACTTAAAGATATTATAAAGTATTTTAAAATATTTGTAATAGTTTATTGATCTTTACTTTTGGTTCCTTGAAAGACAGCTTCAACAAATAGATATTAATTATCTGATCTAAACTGGAAATTAGTAAGAAATAATGTAGTTAACAAAGACAACTATCTATTTTACATCCTTCTTAAGTGAAAAAAAGGGCCAAGAGAAGTTAAATAATTTGGTCAAAGTCACATGTATCATTATCATGTGATCATCCCTTACTCTTCCCTGCTATCAGGAATAATCCAAATTGCCTTATCAATTACATATAGAGTAGTCTTCTTGGTACCATCAAGCATCTTAGCAGGAATAAGACTCTTAGGTCCCATCTAGATCTACTGTGTTAGGAATCACATTTTAGCAGGTTTTCTAGGTGATTTAGTTATACTGAGGTTTTAAAAGTCTTTCATCAGATTATCTCCCAATCTTTGGGTCAAGGACTCATATCTGGCAATTTGACAAGCTCCCAGGGAAGCTGATGACCTGTCCCATGCGCTACACTTGAAGAAGAAGTAGGTTCCACAAACAGAAGACCCCACTCCCTACTTTGAATGGAAAGTTGGAGACACAAATAAGCAACAAGCCTAGAGAGGTCATTAGAGTATGTAGCAATCCTAGTAGTGGACCCAGGAGAGCCAAGAGTGCTGTGACACTGGGGAAAACAGGGCACATCTTAGTAGAAGCTCGCTGCCAGGGACTGCAATCATGTACTCCTGAGCAAAAGTTTGGCCATGTAGATTTCTGAAGAGTCTGTGATCTCCCCTATACCCTTTCAATAAACACTGTTCCACTTTTTAAAAAGACAAAAATATTGCCTATTAGCTATTGAGATAAGAATTTATTTATCATCTTTTTTTTTTTTTTTTTTTTTAATTTTAGGGAAAGGTCTACAGGGTGCTCTGAGTCTCACTATTAGATCAGACTCATGGTGATTCTCCTATTTTACAGCCAGCTTCCCAAGAGCTGGGATTACAGGCACATGCTACCATGCCCAATCTCAATCGCCAACTCAGCGCACCCCCAGGGGTGGGGCCAGCATGGTAAGCCCAGGGTTTGAACCCGGCCCCTGTACCTGCTTGTAGGCGCTTTAATCCACTGAGCTATTTGGCTGGCCCCAAGAATTTATTTTAAAAAATAAAAAGTATATATCTAAAAAGTGCTACATCATTGTGTAGTAGTTCAAAAAGTTAGTATATATCAGAATCACCTAGAAGCTTGTTTGCAAAGAGGCTGCTAGGCCCCTTTGCCAGCTCTGATTCGGTATGTCTGGAAAACTAAATAACCTGTACTTCTCAACAGATCCTAGCTAATATTAATGCTATTGGTCCAGAAACTCTTAGAACCAATGCCAAAGTAATAGGAATAGCCTGAAGGATATAATCTTTAAAATAACTAATAGTTCACAATCAGAGAGGACAACTGATTTTTTAAATTTTATTTATTTATTTAATATAGGGTCTCGCTATGCAGTTCAGACTCATAGCGATCCTTCTGTCTCAGCTTCCCCAGTCCTGGGATTACAGGCGTGCACCACCACACCTGGCTTCAGTGGCCGGCCTAAAGCGCCCAAGGATTGCAGGGGCCAGCATGGCATGCAGTACCAGGGATCTCTCCCAGCCCCAAGGACAACAGATTTTTAAATTTAAACTTAAGAAATTTATGCAGCCTGGAATCACTTTTTTCACTTACAATGATATTTTATAAAACATACATGGTATCTGAGGTCCAAGTTCATGAAAATCAATGAGGACTTTATAAAGGAACGATGGGGAACACATGATATGGAAAAATACAGCTAAGAAGATAGAATGAGGAAAAGAGGCAAACGCCCCTATGGTCTATCCAAGCACTGTATCAGCTCATCTATTCCCTCTAATCAAAGCAGACCTGATGTGAATTACCCTGTAACCATTACCAATAAATAACACCACTTAGCTTCTCCCAGGTAATCACTTGCACCTTCAAGAATGCTTTGTTCTTTTCTCTTCCCCTGCTATCTACAGAAAACTTAGAACCACTAAAGCAAAAGTAAAACATGCAAGCTGGGCAAAGTAGTGCACTCTTGTGATCCTAGCACTGAGGAAGCTGTGCTAGGAGGATCACAGTGAGCTCAAGGCCAGCCTGGGCTACACAGAGTTCCAAGGCCAGCCTGAACTGCATAGCAAGGATCTATCAAGAAAGAGAGAAGAGAAGAGAAGAGAAGAGAAGAGAAGAGAAGAGAAGAGAAGAGAAGAGAAGAGAAGAGAAGAGAAGCGAAGCGAAGCAGAGAAGAGCACAGCAGAGCAGAGCACAGCAGAGCAAAACACCCAAAATAAACCGAAAATTAAACCATACAATATTTTTTCAGGGGCCGGGGAGATGGCTCAGTGGAATAAGCACTTGCCTGGCAAGCACAAGGGCCTGAGTTCAATCCCCGGTTCCAGAAAAAAAAAAAAAAAAAAAAAAAAAAACATTCATAGTAACTACAATATAGCTTATACATTGCATTATTCTCCAAAAAATGAAGGCATGACTTTCAAAACTCTGACCCAGCCAAGAAGGTGTATATAGCTAGATGTGGTTGCTCATGGCTTTAATCTCAGCACTCAGGAGGCTGCGGCAGGAGGACTGCTGGGAGTTTAAAGTCAGCTTAGGGTACATAGTAAGTTTAAAGACAGGGTAAACTACATAGCAAGACCCTGTCTCCAAAAAATACAATTGTTTTCTCAATCACTGCTTTATTTTAAAACTAAAGAGAAACTTTAGAAAAGTAAATGATACTGAGCCTCACCCACAAGAATTAAATTCAATAATTTGAGCAGGGATTTATTTTTTTAAAAAGTCACAGGTGATATTCCTAAACTGTGATTAGATTTGAGATCTTTGTTCTAAAATTGGCACAGTGAAAAAAAGAACACAGAAACAGTATCAGGAAGTAAAACCTGATTCTGAAATTTTCATGCTAACCCAGATTTTTTTTCTTAAATATTAACTAGCACACAAGACACAAAAGCTAAGAATTATGTTTTAAGGAAAATTCTTAAACAAGCCTAGTTTTATATTCTAAATATCTAAAAGTAAACTCTAGAAAGACATAGTATACTTAGAAATCATGACATCTAGAACTCAAATATCCCCTATGTCATCAAGAACAATTTTGAAGCATAATTAATCAAAATTAATTTCTGCATAAGATTGAGGGCCAGAGAGATGGCTCAGTAGAATAAGAACTTCCCTGGCAAGTGCAAGGGCCTGAGTTCAATCTGCGTAAGACTGAAATAGAAAGCCAGGAGGTGATCAATTGGTGCTAAAAATTACTGCCAGGAAAAATACATTTTTACTTATCAATCAAAAATTATAGTTAATAATTTCAGTATTATTGCAGTATATCACTACAGCACAAGAATATTAATGGCATTTTCCAAAATTACTTTCTTCTGATTCCAACCATCCTTTTAAACAGGTGGGAGGAGGGGCCCTCTGAAGAAGATGGCAGTACTGAAGTTGACAATACCACAAATCACTTGGCTATCTCTATTAATGGACAAAATTCCAATTGATAATCACTTGATATCATCACCTCAACCATGTGAAAGATTTACTGAGATGCAGGTCTAAATACTTCAAATTCTTAAGTCTTCCATTTCATATTTATTGTGTTGATAAAATTTATAATACTTGAGTGTGCATATTATGATATTTATAAAATAAGTAAATCCAAGAAGAATCAAACCTACCACAAGAGTATCCAAAGAATCAATCAGTGTCAGGGAAAATCTAAGAAAAAAGTATAACGAGACACAAAATTTAAAATTCTAAATATTTTATCCATGAATGTTTAAGTTGACTTATTACATCCAACTGACTGGTACTTTCTATTAGCTAGTAGTTATGTGTAAAGTATAATGTAACCTATAAAACACTGAAAAAAATCAGAAAAGCCTTAACATTCCACATCTTTGAAGATATGTAACAATATTTATTAGCTCTTTTTAAAATAATATTAAAGCAGTAAAACTTCATCATGTGTTAATGACTTTACATACATTTTAAATTTACACATATTTTAATTTACTCTAGATTAACTTTTCCTGATCTAATGGGTAAACTGATTAATTTTTACGTAAGACAGTAAAAAGGAATAACGAAGTTTATAATGCAATACTTAGAGCAGTCTTTACAAGTTAACCAGCACCCAGGAATAAAGCTGTAAACTGCCTCCAGGAAGTCTAGCAGTTGGCGTTGTGAAATGCCACACCATGCTCATACTCACTTTCCCAAGGCATCATCCACGTCACCCCTGCTTGGCTCCTGGCCCCTAACACGACCTCTACAGGTTAAAGGCATGAGTTCATCTGCTGGATAAGCATGCTCCTACAAAGAAAACATCAGTAAGTTACTAAGGAAAATAGGTGACAGTACACAGCATGTAGACAGTATGATCTTTTCATAATTTAAAAATAAAGTAAAATGGGGCCAGAGAGATGGCTCAGTGGAATAAGTGCTTCCCTGGCAAGCACAAGGGCCTGAGTTCAATCTCCGGTTCTGCCAAAATAAATACATAAATAAATAAATAAAGTAAAATGAAGGTCAGTCAAAAATTATACTATAAGAGCCAGCCAAATAGCTCAGCAGGTTAAAGCACCTGCAAGTAGGCTCATGGGCTGGGGGTTTGATCCCCCAGCCTGCCATGCTGGCCCCACCCCCAGGGTGCACTGAGATAGCAATTGAGACTGGGTGTGGTGGCGCACACCTGTAATCACAGCTCTTGGGAGACTGTAAACAGGCGGATCACTATGAGTCTGATCTAGTAGTGAGACCCTGAACACCCTGTGGACCCTTCCCTAAAATACAAAAAAAAAAATTATGCTGTATATGGCAAATTTAAAAGTTTAATCACAAATTCACTACATGCTTGATTAAATTCAAACAGTACCAAAAACTGTTCTGTTTTGCTTTGTTTTCGGAACCGGGAATTGAACTCAGGCCCTTGTGATTGCCAGGCAAGCACTTATTCTACTGAGCCATCTCCCAGACCCCAAATTTTACCAAGTGCTTTTTTTTTTTTTTTTTTTTGTGGAACCAGGGATTGAACTCAGGCCCTTATGCTTGCCAGGGAAGTGCTTACCAAAAACTTAAAACATTGATAATCTGATATCCCTCTTCTAATCTCAATCCCCAGAGGTTA